AAGAGGATATAAATCATCTCGAGCGTGAAGTGTACATACGGTGCCGAGTTAGAGGAAAAGTGGAGGGGGACTCTTCACATTTGCCAGCCTCCTTCCAGTTACCTCGCCGTTTCGTCTTACTCTCTGACGCGGTATTTGCGAGCTTGATTCTCGGTTCAAAGAGAAACGCGACCCTCTTTTTTTTTCCTTTTTTAATTTTCTTTTTTTTTCTTTTTTTTTCATCGCTCGAAAAATGCGCGGGAATTATCTCATTTACCTCGCTGTGTATTTTTAATTCATTTTTAACATGGTTCTTATTTTTTTTTCTGTCGGTGATGCAGAGCTTGGTTAATTCTAGTACTGTTTATGAACAAATAATGGAAGAATTTAAGAAGATTTTGTGATTTTTTTATTGCACACGGATGTATGAAACAATTAGAGAAAATACTAGATGAGAAGTGGATTGTTGTATAATGTAAATATATATTTATATGAAATTTAATAGTTTTATATATTTTTTTTACATAGAAAGTTTTTTACATAACATTTCGTTTTCACATAGTATTCTACATTATATTAAGGAAGATTAGTGATGAAAACTTTATCATGAAAACTTTGCCTGTAATTAAAGTTTGCTTCTTAGTGAGTGAAAATTATGCGAATTCATTAAAAAATTTAAATGAATTCATTTATTTCAATATTTTAAAAATGTTTTTTTTTTTAAAAAGCAATTCTTTAACGATAAAATATTCATTTGACGAATTAATAATAAATTATTAATAAATCTTTAAAACCAATGATTTTATTGAATCATGAATAATAAAATTAATTAATCTTTTAGAAAAATATATTCGGAATTACATTAAAAAAAAAAAAAAAAGAAAATTCGTTACATATGCATCGATTTACAATGCATATAAAACAAATACTATTATTGAGTCGATTTCTCCGAACTCACTTTATAAAGAACGCTCCACTTCACAAATTCCAATTCGGAGACCTCTTCAACCTCTGAATAAACCAACCTTACTCCATCCAAATTGTTCACTCTCAAATAAACGAGTGTTTTAAACGAGCGGAACGAAACGGAGGGATAAACACCAGCAGTTTTATCCGACCACAAAAATTCATAGAATACAAGAAACTTCAAGAGGAATGAGTTTCTAGCCTAGCAAGAGGATAAAGAATATATATAAAAGAAAAAGAAAGAAAAACAAGTGGAATAAGAGGAAACAGAAGGAATGAAAGAAAAAGAGGTTTATTAGTTTGCGTTTATTATGACGTATTCTTTAACAGCTTTCACGGGCCACCTCTCTCTCGTTTGCATAAAAATAACGAACTCGATTAGCATACAGACGCGACGAAATTCTAAAATCATTTCGTTCTAGAGATCACGTACACTACCACCACGTATTCTACCACGTAGGCAGAATCTAAAATCATGGATTTTCAGCCAAGGGAATCCTTGTGGTTATGGAAGATCACGGAGTGCATGCGGCAGATTATCCGTAATGGATAGAGACGTGTTTTAGGTCTACTTCGGTCTGGAAATGAGCGGATGTTGTCCATCCTAGGAACGTTTCCACTACTTATTCTTGCCATCCGTGAAATCGTGCCATGATTTCGCGATCTTTTATCGCTGAGAGAGCATGCGTATTGCAAGAATTTAGAGAGGTTAGATAGACTTATAACGCGATTGCCAACATTCACGGAAAATTATCTAGATGTTACGATTGGTTTTAAAGAAATAATTATTAGAAAAAGTAATTTTTTTTAACACTTTAAGAGATAGAATATTATTAATATTTTGCTACAAATTTTTTAAGTAAAATAAATCCATTTTTTATTATTAAAATTATAAAATGATATAGATAATAGTTTAGACATCAATAATAATTATTATTGAAAAAATATATTATTGAAAAAAATATTAAAATAAGACATTTTATAAAGGATTAAAAATTATTCGTCTATAATTATTTGATGAATATATGCGCATTTTTAGAATTTCTAAGAATAGAGACACTACAATATTGTTAGAATATTATTAAAATTTTATTAAAATTAAATTCTAAATATTGAATAATGAACAATATTATTAAATATTTTTTAATATTAAAAAATAATTTAAGAAAAAAGATATTATTGTGAAATATTTATTTTATGGATGTTGTGCATAAGACTTAAAAAAGACTTTAAAAAGAATTAAACGATTAAAACTAACAAAGTTTCGAAATTTAGTTAAAAATAAAGTTGAAACGGAAAATATTTAATGTTTCTACGGTTGCAGATGTGTTTAATCTCGGCAAAGTAACTAGAAGTTGTTCAAATAAATATATACGAAAAACTTTACTAGTAGCTAATAAAGTGTTGTGCAAATAGCTGAGACGTGATCGACATTAATGGCTATCAATCGGTCATGAAAGTGTACAATGTATCGAAAAGAATTCGATTTTCTACCCTAGTCACATCCTACGATACTCTTTTACAAATTCTTTCTAAGCTATTATAAACGTCACCAAGATTTATTACATAGTTGATGAAATAAGATCAGGTTTATCCAATCATCTGTTAAAAAGTAATAAAAGACGAAATATTCAAATATTCAATTTGATCGAAAATTTAAATTTCTCTCCATAACTTGGTATTCACTTGGTTCACGAATAATTTTTTTCAAAGAAGATTAAATATAATTATACTATATTACTATATTACTATATTACTATATTACTCAATTGAGATTATAAAATAAAAAAAAAAACAAAAATGGAATAATAAGAATAAAATGTTTCCAAACAAAATTGTAAATTTTCTATACTTAACCTAACTTAATCTTGTATTCATTAAAGCACCAATAACATATTAGTAACAAAATAAATGAATTTTTTATATTAAAAATATTAATAATAATATATTATAATTTTTTTTATATCAATGTTTAAATCAATATATCAATATTTATCACAATTATATTCATTATTCATATTTAAATTTACACACACGATTCATGAAAAGAAAACTTTGATTGGAGGATCGTTTCACGCAACTCTTTACACCGATCTAGAGCTAACAACATTGACGCAAATCAAGACGGTAATCTCAAGTTCTTTGTCTTTCGGACACCGTACACAAAAGTTCAGAGAAGGACGATGCACTTTTGAAAGAACAAACGCTGTGCTCGGCACATGATTCTTAGATAGCCACGAGATGCACGTGTATATGTGTGCAGAAGCACCTTGAGCTCAAGAGTTAATTCTGGTGTGCACAATAGGTCCGATCCAGAAGACTAGGTCAAGAGAAAGGGAATGAGTTAACAAAAAGGAAACGTATATGATTCCTTGTTTTCTGTCTCTTTCTTGCATTCTTTTTCTATCCTCCAATCGTTGATCGCGTATATTTCTATTCGCTGTTGCGCGGGCAATTCAAAATTGCTAATAATAAATCATCTGATCTAATTTTTGAAAAGAATTTTGTATTTTATCCATGATAGAATATCTACGATATTAATTTTGTGGTATTTGTATGAGCTTTTGTATTTTTGAATATTTGTAGATTGCCAGTAAGATTATAACCATATTTAAATATGGTTAATTGATAATTTATGCATATATTTGAGCTAGTCATTGGTATATTATTATTAATTAAATATATTATAATAATATATTAATGATTAAAATTGAAATATTAGATTGAATATTGTTAACATTGAATATTATTATTGATTAATCAATGATCTTATTGATATTTGCAAAGGATATGTCAACTAATTAAAATATCTCAAGTTCAAAGAAATATTGTGCGAGCGAAACTAAATAATTTAAACTTACTCTTACTTGAATTTTAAGAATTTCGAAACAAAGTTTAACAAATCTCGATCCATTTCTGATCACGATGATTGATACGATTCAAATAAGAATATAATGTAAATATATTAGAATAGATTATCGATTAAAATATTATCGTAAAATAAAATAAAATTCATTTATAACCTATAATGGTAAACTTCAAAATTTCGTGTTACAACTTATATGTATAAATGAGAAAACACATTTCTTAGAGGGAAATGAAAGTAATTTGAAAATCAGCACCGCGTAAAGATGTCATTTAACCACATTTTGTATTCTTAAAAGATCGCAACATCATTTATCATTATTTATACCATTTAAGTATTCCTCCACTCCTCTTTGATCCATATTCTTCGAGTAAAATCATTGCGTTTTCCCTCTTGAAATGTGAACGACTTGAATTCAAGATATTTTTTGAACTCGATCCAGATACATTTTCGAACCAGCAAAAGAATTCATCACTTGGAATGGTATGATCAAATACATATAATATTATATTTGATATAATATTATAAAAAAATATATTTGATATAATATATATAAAATTTTTCAGTAGACGGAAAGAAAGAGTTGTTTGACATAAACAGTGAAGTGAAACACAGAAATGCTATCATGCACGATCGATCGAGGAATTAATATATACGACAATAAAACGATAAACTTGAAATAATTGAATCATTTATTTTTATTTAATATATTTAAATCTTTAATTTTTTTTTAATGAAAACTATTATTATGACTTTCAGAAAGTAATTTACTTACAGAAAGGTAATTTTCAATTTCTGGATTTTTATTAGACAGAATATCTTCTTCTATTATTATGATGAAAGAAAATTATATGTTAAGAGTTTTCAAGACATTTTTGTGTGAAATTTCCAAATTAAAACTTTCAGTTTCATGATATCAAAAGCAAAAAAAAAAAAACTTGACTTTCGATTTTCAATTTCGAGAAATTTGAATTTTACATTGCTTTTCAACAAAGAAACAAAAAATCGTATTCTATAGTAAAAAAAAAAAAATTATAATTGCTAATTTCGAGTTTTTAAAATAAAATTACTTTAAAAATCACTTTCAAAAAATTCAAAGATACATATTCAATATGAAAAAAATAATTATAAATTATACAAGAAATTATACAAGAATATTATGAATTATTATGATATGATATTCACTCACCTTGAACTGTAGAGCACTCTACCATCTTGATAAAGTCTGACGAATTTGTTGGGACTGGTTATAGTGTGTAAATAACTATGCTTCCCGTTGTAAAAATACGTATCCGGCTTCCAAATCCTTGCCAGCATCGATATACTAAGCGCCAGAGTTTCTTTACCGCCTTGAAAAGCCAAACGTCGATCCACCCACGATTGCCGGAAGTAACAATCCATTGAATAAGTCTGCGCAAAAATTTTTTTTTTTTTTGTTACTTTTATAAACTTTTATTTGATGAAATCTTATAATTAATGGAATTTTCCTCTGTGTTATCGTGATATTTTACAGTGATAATGTATTATTTATTTGGAACAGAAATACAACTAAATATTCTTATATTTTATTATTTCAATTTGTTTCATCCTTCATACATCCCTTTTATCTTATTTCTCTTATTCAAAATCCAAGGATTCAAAGATTCAAAATTTCAAGAATTCAAAAAATCGAAAAAATTATAACGATCCAAAAATTGAAAGAAAATTCTAAGAAAGAGAATCTAGAAATTAAAAGATTTAAAAATACAAAATGTGAAAAATTCAAAAAATTCGAAGATCAAAAATCCAAGGATTCAAAGATTCAAAGACAAGAAATAAAAAATTCTAAGGATTCGATAAATTCAAAAACTTAAGATCCATAAAAAGAATCTAAAAGACTTAAAAAGATTTAAAAATTCTAAAGATCCAAAGATTGGTTTTACAAGAAAATACATATAAGATTGCTTTTGTACTCAGTTAAATAATATCACGAAACCATTGAAATCGAATTTGTACAATGCTGGACAATGATGAATGAGATCTGGAATGATTGTAGAGTCTATATGTAGCAAGGAGAGTGTCGTTGGGAAGAGAAACAAAAGGAAACGAACGAAGAGATACGAACCATATCGACTTCGGAAATCGGACCCATACTGCGCACCATAATGTCGACCTCAACCGTGGCCGGTGGACCACCGAAGTCTGGTCTCACGCTGTTGTCGTAACCGCGAAGCAAATTGTCCAAGAGCTCGCTTATGTTGCTGTGATTATTGCTCTGCGTCCTCTGCCTCGTGGATGTTTTTGCTCCTGTTGCTGCTCTATAACGATCGATCTATTAATATCAATTTTTATTCGATAAAAATAATGTAAAATTAATTATTTTAAAGAATTATATTCTCTTTTTCGAATAAAAAAATTATTGATTATATTAAAATATTCGATTTATATAGGTTATATCGTGTAAAATATACGCTAAATTATTTCTTTTTCATAGTGTAACAATAAGTCATTATTATATTCAATACAAAGTCAAAAATTTTCACATTTTCAAATATTCGATTAATATAGATCACATTGTATAAAATATATGCTGTAAAGTATAAATTATTTTTTCATATACTTTATAATGTAAATAGATTGTTATTGCATTCAATGGAAATTTAAAGATTTTTTTATGTAAAAAATGTGAGATGAAATTAAAAGTTTTGTTATCGAAATACATTCAGAAAATAGAGAAAACTGCGTTATTAAAATTTCTTTTTCTTTCATTTCCATATTTCAATCGGTTAACAAAGGAACTCAACATTTCTATAGTATTTAAAACGATCTTTTATTCATTGACTGGAAGTCATTCTACCTGAAATTAGAGTAGTTCAAGTTAGTTTTTTTTTTAATTTTAATAAGATTTAATTAAGTTTAAGAAAAAGTTATATACGATAATTAAATTCTTAAAATATTAATTATCTTATTAATAATATATTGAAGATTACTTCAATTATTTCTTGACATCAAAAAATCTTTCTAATCGTCAAAAAATCATTCTGTCAATTTTAACGTATATATGTTGAAAGCCTATTAAATCAAAATTAACGATCGATTTGTTGTTAAACTGCGCGGTTCTCCTTAACCTACATTCCCCTCCCCTTAATCTGCATCACATTTATCTATCTATTTGCACGATCCTGAATCATCGTATATCATATTTAAATATATCGATATATGAGACAACCACATGTGGTATTTTTCACTATTTGAACGCATCATGATTGTACCGTTCCTCCGTTATCGTAAACCGAGGTTGCTTTATGTCAGAACAGAAGGGATAGAAGAATATCAACAGACGAATAGAAAGAAACGAAGAATGTATCATGAACGATATCTGTAAATTTTTGTGAAAATCTGCTGAAAAATTTGAGAGAAGAGCTCATATTTGGATTACAGATTTGAAATAGATAGGAATCTGAAGTTAATAAATTTATTTAGAATAAATAATTTTATAATTCTTTTTTTAATTGAACATTTGTCCATTACATGTTCTTACTTGGCCAATTTATGATTGATGAAACAATTGATTGACACATGTAATAAATAAAGAATATGAAGTAAAATATTTTTATTTTCTTTTCAATTATTCTTTGTATTCATCTCTAATAATAAAATAATTCTGTAATAAGCTTATTTACATAACCTTGAATTTTAAAACATACATGTTTACATATAAATATTATATCCATACTAACCTATTCGTTTTGTCAAAAAAAAAAAAATTATCCGTTTTTTCAAAAAAAAAAAAAAAGAAAATTCTTTAAAAAACAAAAAGAATCGAGAGAAATACAAACACGTCCAACTCAAACATTCTCTCTGCCGATTCTCCAACCTAATAAACCTCAAGATTCCTCTCCAAATTAAGTTCAACTTTCTTCCTTTCTATTTTCCTTGTCTACCACTCGAGAAAGGAAAACAAACGGATAACACTTTAAAAAATACTCTTTTCGCTCATTGTTCCATCCGGTTCGACAGCTATTTCGTTTATGTTTCGCGTGTATACGTGTGGTGAAGTGTACATACAAGAGTGTGGAAATTGGACCGAGGGAATTTGGACAGTGGGCGGGGAAACGAAAATTGCGGATCGTTTTTAAACCGAAATAAAGCGAGATTTTAATGTCTCTCTCTCTTTGTCTATAACTTTTCAGGTCACGGTGAGAACGAATGCCCGATCGAACCCATGTTGTCCCTGTATATTTCGACCATCATCTGTGCCCAGTCTATTTTCCAGGATCGGCTGTATCCGCTTTTGTTTGCTGACATCGTGTCTTTTTTCGATTCCTCGATTCTTTTTCTTTCATATTCTGACCAAATGGACTATCGATACACTTACTGACAATATATAGAGTGTTCGATTAGGCACGCATCGTGAAACAAAAAAATTCGAATACTTTTTCCTATCTCTCTTTTTTATAAAAAATATTTTTCTTTTTTTTTTTAATTTCAATAGTCGAGCGAAGTGAATGAAACAAATCGTTAATAATTCTCAGAATATCTATGGATAAAAATGATTTAATCAGATTGAAAATTAAATAGTGATATTGATCTAGTTATATTCAGGATTCTAGTGGTTGTTAGAGAATTTTTTATCGTCAAGTTAAGTCTCTTTTACATGACTTGAATATTGCAATCATGCATATTATGTAAAATGTTAATATATTCGTGATATATTAATTTTTGCGTTTGTTTTTCTAACCTTTAAAATTAATCTTCCAAAGATATTCGCAAGAACGCTGTATTAACACTCTGAATATAAATTCAATATAGCCTTTAAAGTTTCAAGATGCATATAAATTTTCTTTTTAAAAAAATCTTAAGTATATATTTGAAAGAAAAAACCAATTCTAAATTAATGTCATATAAACTTGAATAAGATGAAAGATCGAACTTCTTACCTCTAAAATTAAAGGATTAGAAGAAAATTGTTCTCTCATCAACTTACATGTAAACTTAAACACGTGATCAATTTTGTGATCTTACTGTTTTTATCGATCTTATCGATTATAGCTTCCCAAATAAACGACACGTCTTAATTCTAAGACAATCATCTTACTATTGTATATTTTTTTTATAAGAAATCATTTTTTTTTGGTTGTCAGAAATAATGAAACACCCTATACAGAAGATGCATTTAAGAGATGTATTTAAGAGAATAGGAGGATTGGATGTGTTTATGCGGAGGATCTACATATTGAAATTATTAAAAAGATGGTTGACCTGTTTTTACCAGGGAAATAAGGATTTGAATGATGCATCCTACGAGTTCTTTCTTTCATATGACTGATTAACTCTCTCTCCTCGACCTCTTTCTAGTCTTTTATGTAAATATCAAGACGTAGCCTTTGTGGAGTGACTTCTTCACTTCGGTGATAGTGAGGTTTTATAGGGATTGCAGATTTGGATATGTCTCATGAATATTTTTTTTTTTTTTTTTATGATCAAATTAGCTTCTTGGTAGCAAGAATGAATTTTCCTTTGAATTTTGTTTAATTGATTGAAGTTGAGTGAGAATATATATCCTAATTAGATTTAATTTTTTACGTATTATATAATATATAGATATATAATATAATCTATAATAATTTTTATTTTATCTATAATATTTTTTATTTAATAATTTCTTTATAATCTTTTGTAAATACGAGTTTTCGAAGAATCTTTTTTTTTCCATATAATGACAACTTTCAAAAGAAAAATATATCGATAAATATAGAAATTTATAGGGATTCTTTTATAAGACTAAAAAAGATTTATATTAGACTCGAAGAGAATATTTACTATACCTAAGGAAACTTTCTAAAACTTTTTTTTAAGTTTTTTTACAAAAACTTGTTTAAACATCAAAAATTGTATTATAATTATTATTATAATATATTATAATAACTTTATATCTTAAATCAGGATTGAACATCATCGAGTTAAATTCTTTTTTTATTTTAATATAAATGATCTACGTATTATTTATTTCCATTCAAAAGAATTTCATAGTTTTCATGATTTTCAAAATTTTTTAAAACTATAAGCAATAAACTTGAATAATATAGAATATTTGATTTGTTCATTTTATTATTTATTTTTATTTCAAAGAAAAAATGCTTAATTCTTAATCAAAATGGGAAAATTACTTTTGTTATACTTTCGAAATTTTTTAATTAAATTGTTCGCATGATGGAACATAGAAATGAACAATTATGAGAAAGACAAGAAGGAAGAGAGAGTTATCAGTTCGAATTGGGTTAATTGTCTGACAAGAGGGTTCAAATCAAACAGGGTTCCAATGATCTGCATTACGACGTTCATCCAACTCTCCGAATATTCCATCGTTGCATTTACGATTTCTCGTCGAATGGACGCTGGAGAATCTCGAGTTCGGCTTGGCCCATAATGCAAGAACAATCGTATAATCATCTCAAGTATGTTCGTTATCAGTGGAATGACATGCAATTTTTAAGACATTTTTATTTCATCATTTTTTAACGATTTGCGACAGTATAGATATACTCATTTTAAAATTCATTTTATTTTTAATTAAGATTTCCAATTTCTTTATAAATTTTCTCTTGCTATTATTCTATAAAAAATAAAATAAATTGATAAAAATGAATAACATATTTTATAATTTATTTTTCATTAATAATAGATGTATGTAGATTTTGAATAATTGAAAACTAATAAAATTCATTAAATAATAAGAATTGGAAATTTCTATTTAAAAAAGATTATATATTATACTGTAAAAAAAGATTATATATTATACTGTACAAATTATAAAAATTAATCTATACTAAATAAATATCAAATTATTAACTGAAAATAAATTATATTTTTATACTAATTAAAATTTCGTTTCATTAATAAATATAATGATAAAAGAAGATTTGATATTTTGTTAAAATTTTTTATAAATAGTATAAAAAAATATTTATACAGAAACGATGCATAAGATGTGATCAAGTTGGCGAGGGCCAGAAGGACTCGCTGCTTCATCATGTCTTGGGACTGATCCTCCCTCACAATACGTCCTGATTCATTCATCAATTCGTTTGAAACGGCCAGCGTTTTAGATTTCTTCTATTTCTAAAACAAAAGATGAAAGCAAAGATTGTTAGTTTCTTTGATATACGAAAATATTTTCATGCATTATGCATTTAATTTTTTGTTAAAAAAAAAATTTATATATTATTAAGCATTAAAAAAAATAGATGTTATTAATTTAACTCATTTTCAAAAAAAGATTCATTTACACAAAAAAGATAGAAAGATAAAAAATAGATCAACGAGATCAAAAAATATTTTAAAAATGTTATAATTTATCTCTTTTTGATGCTTTGCCATCTCTCCTTTGAGAGATTCCTCTATCATCAAGCCATCATTCATCGAATAGTTAATGAATCACGAATTTCTCTTTTTTTCTTCTTTTTTTCATCATTTGCCGATCAATTAAACTGGAATAATTTCAAATTTTATTTTCAGTCGTTGACGAGGGAATATATCCATTGACGACACACTCGACGAAATTTCACCATTGATGTCCTATTTTGAATAACTATTCGAATGCATCGCTTTCGATCCAACTGTTTCCTAAATAAAAATATTTTTCTCTAACATGAGTGATTTTTCATAAGAGATTCTCTTAAGGAATTCCTATGTGTATAAATATTTCCATTTTATAAATTAGATTAAATAAATTTTTACAAATAATTTATATAGTTCAAATATTTCAAATTTTTAATTGATAAAATAATTAAATTATTAATTCAATAATTTAACATTGACTTGATCGAAAATTTAAATAATAAAGAAATTTTTGAATTACATAAATCAATTTCAAAGAATGTAACTGATTGACTTTTGAATTCTCTTTGATTTCTTACCTCCTGAAATTGTGAATATATATTTATGAATTACCCATATTGTTTGAAATATGGTTATTCCTTGCTTCAATTTTCAAATAATTATACTTAATTTTCTAATTTTTAAAAAAAAAATCATCAAATTCTATAGTTTTTTCAGAATATCTTTCACAAACAATTCAATTAAAAAAAAAGTCTCGATCATTGTAATATCTCGAATGAAAATCGTCATATCGAACAATGATCTTGTATCATTAAGCTTAAACACTTTGTATTCATGATGAGAAGAATCCGCTTCCAATTACGCGGTCGATCGACGATAATTAATATTATATTGTGGTCCAAATGAATGTGTGAGTGTAGCTAATTGACGGTTGGAAAAAAGAATTAATTCGTTCGTTCTTCCTTTGTGGTCTGAATTGGATGTCATACTTCGTCGACAGAGAAACACAAAACATGGCCTTTCCCATCGTGTTCCCTCGTTTGAAAACGAGGAGGCCGCAATTCCAGTAAACAAGCATCCGAATGGGTAAATATCTGGCACTGGTAGCGTACACACACGAGTGTGAAAGCAAGAGAGGAGAAAGGTAGTAAAAGGTGGCGTTTAACTTGCAATTTAACTCGTCGCGGTATCCGTCGATAATCAGGTCGCTTTTCGTTCGACGGAGGCTTTTAACTAGAACTAGTAAACTAATTGAAGTGATTTTTGGATCTTTTATTTTTTGAATATATTTAAATATAATACTTTTGACAAAATTAACAAAATAACATAAATTTTCTGTGTTCACAAGAGAATTGCGACTAACGATATCGTTATCGATAAATATCGATAATATTAATATTAATATCGATAAATATCGATAATTCGATATATCAATAATATCGTTATGACAGAAATAAATGAAATTCTTATTTTTTTCTTATTTAAAGTTATTGTTATTAAAGATATTGTTAATGATTATTTATGAATTAACAATATTTCATTGAATTTTCGATATATTGAAAATATCGATCGATATCGTTAAGATATCGATAATGCGAACAGAAGTGAGTGAAGTGACTTATTATAGATAATATTTATATATTCTGAGAAGAAAAAATAGGAATTTTAATAAAAAATTAATATAATGATATATTAAAAAGTAATTAATATAATAACAAGTAATATGTTATTTCTATTATATTATCTCTATAATTATTTCATGATTTTGATGAATACATTTCGTATTCGATAAATTATATCAAAATTTATATGTATGTATATACATTGAAATTAGCAATTTGAAATTGAAGAAAATCGAGATTAAAAAAGTGACAATAAAAGTGCCCAGCAACGTATTTCATTAACTGTCAATTTATCGCTATTGATTTCAATAGAATTCGATATGTTTTAATTAAAATTCGTGGTTGGAAAAAATTTCTATCTGCTGACTTTCCTGTCAAATCAAATGAGAATTATTCAGGAATGAGGACACATTGATTTTCATACCTATGTTATCTCGAAATCTTCGAAAGGTAAGACATCAAATTTTTTTTAAGGTGTATTCCTAACAAAGCACATACAAATTTTGACGTGTAAATAAAATTATTTGATGATCATTTTTATTTTTGACAACACTTTCTTCATTGTCAAATAATTTTTATATTTTTATAATTTACATAAATTAAGATAAATTTGTGCTTTCTTAGTAAAAATTTCTCTTTTAATAATTATAATATTATCTTTCACGAAATTCAAATATCATATATCATCTTCTCATATTTAGCTTTATTCTATTATTATTATTGTGAATATTCATGTGAATATTTCAATGCATGTTGTTTTTTCTCTTTCTACTTGTCTATAGTATATTTGCTCGAAGTTAAAAGCGAATCAACCATGGTATACCCGTCGAATCCACGGCTAATGAATCGGGTCCTGGATGCCGTGGTGCATCTATGCGATGGTAAAGGATCCACAGCTCGAGATGTCCTCGATTATCTTCGACAAACTTCCAAGAGTACGCCGAGGAACTTGACGATGCAGGTGACAGTGGTGGAAATGTAAATTAATTTCGTACGATTCGTAGTGATTTGACATTGTTGATTGAAATTTCACCGTTTCACGTGTGATGTAAACATAAATCAACTGTGATATTTAATAATAATTATTAATTAGATATAAGTCAAATTTTTAAATTTGCGAAACTTTCAAAATGCTAATTATTATTATTATTTTCTGCGATTTGAAATTTAGACTTACGCAATTACGATTCTTTGATATTTCGAACAAATTTATTAACAATGAAAAATAATTATTGAACAGAAAATGAATTAAAAATCGTAAGATTGAAAACTATTCTCTGTAGTTATATTCGAATATTGCATTAATGTTTTATAAAAAAAAATTTTTCAACGTTTTTCTAAATATTTGAAGGTTAAAAAATTAAAATTAAAAAAAAAGTTTTTCAAAAATTTAATAAGAAAAAATTTTCAATTATTTTCTAAATTCATCTACGTAAAACTTCTTCTCTTTCTAAAATTTTTTACTCAAATTATTTCTAACTTAAAACATTATAATCGAAGAATATTAATTGAAAAAATATCTAAATAAATTTTACTGATGTTTTCTTTCATTAAAACAATTGAAATCTTCGAAAATCACAGGAAAACAATATCTAAGGAACTAGTTCTTCCAATTTGTAAGATTCTATAATCATGCTGCAGATGGTTGTCAAACAATTTGAAGCACTTTAGGAATCTTCGAACGTCTTTGACGATCCATCAACCACTTCGAAGCTTGCATCCTTCGTAGAAGAAGGAACACATTTTCTTCAATATTTCAATTTTCAAAGTTTATAAACTCGATCGGGAAATCTTTATCTTATATCATCGATAATTTAAATCGAGAAACTTGAAAATTCAATTAACGATAACAAGGTAACAAGAATAATATACTAAAATAATGAGAATAAAATTATTTATATTATATCGCAGAAATCTTTATACATTTTCCACGAGAATGTTATATGACTGTACGTACGATTTCATGTTGTTTGTATCATAAAATAATATAATTAGAAAAAGTTTTGTTGAGGTTAGAATTCGAAATTTGTTGCATTTGCTGTTTCTTACGAAATAAATTTTCAGGTTCATCGGGCGTTGAAGCACGCAGTGAATGCCGGTTTGTTGCGGCACAGAAGTGGTCGTTACAAGGCAGTGTTCACGTTAAATCCAGCTCCGATTAAACAGTCCGTGAACGAGAGTAACGAGCAAAAATCGATCATTGAAATGAACATGCAGCAGAGACCATCGAGTGTCAAAATGATTAAAGAGGACAACAACAACAGGTTAATGTCTTATTAATTATCACAGAATAATTCAATAATTTATTACAAATAATTCGTTGAAATTGAGATGAATGATCTTTGAAATTATGTATATTTTAAAAATTAAATAGGAATCAGAAAATAGGAAACGAAATTATGTATTAATAATTATAATAAGAAATAATAGTGGTTAATCTTGAAAAATGTAGATTTTTATTTAATTTTGATTATTTTATTTTAGATTATTACCAATTTATTAAGATTTAATGACTAGTAATCCACATATCAAATTGCAATAGTTAATTATGATATATCAAAAATAATGATTTGATAACAAACATCAGAAAAAATAAGAGGAAGAAAAAATTGTGTATTTAGCACTTTATAATTACTGAATATAAAGAAAATTGAAGATATTCATTTTCATATCGAATAAATTGAGAATATTCAATCGAATTTATTTTTAGATCGTGTATATTTTTAACAAAAATACCTTGATAAATGATTAAAATTATACATATAATAACGTTTCATTAATCTTCTACTAGTCAGACAGTTTAATCTAATTAATATTCATTATGTAATACAGTTACACAAGTTCTCTTGTCTCCGTAAAATGATGTTAAATACAGTCAGAGAGAATGTCACGTAGCTATTAAATTGGTATGACTGCTTAACACTTATATCTTTGTTCTAAACAATTCTCTATTCTTCATTTAATTGAAAGTTGAATGTACTTCGTGTAACAATTTTTCTTTTTATATTTTGTTATTTAATGTATTCCTAGAAAGAATATTTCTGAAAAGATTCTATGAATAATTTCCAAGCAATTATGTTTCAATATTTATCAACTACATCGAGATATTTAGAATTATCTAATAGAAATCTAACACATTTAAGTAGAAACTAACACAATTAATCAATGTGAAATTCTCATAATATTAAAATTATCGAATTATACATTTTGAAAAATAACTGTTCAGAAATAAAAACTGTTCTCATTAATTATAAAATAAAAATTAAAATAAAAAATATAGAAAATTCAATAATAAAAAATTATTATATTTAATATTTTAATTATTAGTGTGTATTTATTCATTATTCATTTTATCAAATTTCAAAAATAATATATCAAACTTTTATCGTTTAATATTATTGTTTTACTGTTAATATTATTAGATTAAATTTTTTAGCCATTACTATACATCGAGTGTTATTTTGGCGAAAGTGAAACATTCGTATGGAAAAATAAACAATAATCCGAATAGAAAAATTATGTTAGTATTAATGTTTTTTGATTTATGTAACATTATTTTCGCTAAAAATAATGAAAGAAAATGGAACTTTCATTTTAAACTGATATTTTTGGAAAATTAGATTCACAAAACTGCTATCAAAATTCTATTCAAAATGTAATTGTATTCAAAACATTGTATGTATATTTGTTATTACTTTAAATGAATATTTTTTTATTTAAAAATATTTAAGTTGAGATATAGCGAAAAATCTTCATGATTCTAAAAATAATGATTTTTTTCTCAGGAATTTTTAGAAGATTTTCATGATCTTAGAAATATAGAGAAAATCTCTATGATCTCTATTACGATTATAATAGAATATTTTCATAGCTAAAGAATAAGATATCCCATTTAAGGATATAATAAATTTCTATGATTTGAGTTAATATTATAATAAATATGTGATTTAAGCAGGAAATCTTTATAACTCCACTTAGAGAATTTTTCTTAAAGACCTCTAGAATATTTCAATAGAGAATTCATTTCATGATATGAGTTTAAAAATATAGTAATTTCCATGACTTTATTTAAAAATTTGTACATTTAAAGTATAATAGGACATGATTTTAATTAGATATATAATAGAAAATCTTCAGATAAACAATAACAGGATTTCCTTTTTCTTCATTCTAACATATTCATAACTCTATTTAATTCTATAACAAAATCCATGATCTCAATTAAGATAAATTTCTATGATCTCAATTTGAGATTTAAATCCTAAAATTTCTACAAGCCAATAATTAAAGCATAATTAAAGAATCCATAACATCTATATAACCATTTTACAATCAAACATAACCTAACTTAACTTATTCTTTTTTAAGACGAAAGCGAAGAAAATCACGTCAGGAAAGGAAACGAAAAAACAATAATCAAAGAAAACGAAAGCATCACAGTAGGTCGAAAAAGATTGACGAGCTGAAAAAAAATATTAGCGAGATACGAAAGCTCAAGTACAAAGAAAATGGTGAAAGTGGCCGGTCACCGCGAAACAAAATCTCGACTAGCAAAATGAGAGAAAATATTGGAAACCCGTCAGGTTCGTCTGCTCGTAAAAAGAACGAGCTGAGACCAAGAGATTCTAACAACTATAGCGATTTATCAGACTCGAGCGATTATGAGGATAGAAAGGTTAAAGGTAAACTACTTATACGATAAGATATGAACTATAGAAAAACTAATCTGCTTTATTGAAGAGTACAAATGATAATTATAAAATTTGATGCTCGATATATATTTTTTATTATATTTATTTAATACTAGAACAAGCAAATTTGTCAAAATGATTTTATATTTTTTATTTATGATTACGGAATTTTTTTTTTTGGAAAAATTAGCATTTTATCGAGTTAGAACTATAATTACGTATACTTATTTATTTATCATTTTAAATATAATCTGACAAAATTTATATTTTGTAATATCATTCTTTTGAAATTGACTATATATCATTAGTAATCTAATAGAAAAAAAAATTAAAGTAAATTTATCTACAACCGAATCCAAGAGTTGCTCCACTTTAAATCTAAAATTTAAAATTTTTTATAAGATTTTTTTTATAAGACAAGAAATACGATATTACATTAAGATAGATGGATATCTAGGTAGCGAATATTTGGTATTAGAGAAGAGCATTTTATCGAATATCTCGATAGCTTAACTGATTAAAGGAATCGTCTGACAAACGAAAGATCCGGTTTAACTTTGATAATCTGTTGGATCGATTCTTTTTCTCTTAGTCATGCGAAATACTTCCAAACGTGTTCATTCGTTTTTTTTTTTATTGTTATCCTGCTGATTGAAGTCATGTATCAAAAATTCGAATTTATTTTATAATAAGATAAGATAACGATAAGATAAAAGATAAGATAACGAATTTAAATAATGAAATATTTGAACAATGAATGTTTTTTAAATTATTTTTTCCAGTGACAAGAAAAAATGTGCCAACAATGTGCGACGAATACAAATACGAAGGAAATATAAAACAGAATAGAAGATCGGTTTCGCGGAATCGAAGCCCCCAAAGACAAAAATCTCAGCAATTGCACAAATATTTTAACGATATTAACAAGACAAATAAATCAAATACCGTTGATGCTGAGAAAAACGAGGAGGCTCAAGAAGAAGGAAAAAACGAACCTAATAACAGTGGAAGTGGTAGCACGTTGTGAAATTGTTGAATCATGTTTGACTATGATAATCTATCGTAAATTACTTTTTTTTTTTTAATATATTTTTTATGTCGATGTTATGCAAAATTCTTAATGATTTTATTCTACGTTTTAAATCTTTGTAACAGTATGTAGTTTTAAAATACATACATTATCTCAGTAAAGAAATGGATTGTTGGATTTATTAAAAATTTATAATGTTTTTTGATAATTTATATGTTATATCAATATTATAATAATAAATTTAGAAAAATTTGGAAAATTTGGAACTTTGCAAAAATATAATTCAAACGATGATGTTATCACTAATGAATCTCTTGAATGCAAAAGGATAATTTATGATGGGAATAATTTTCAAAATAATGCATAATAAATATAGAATTCATAAATATAGAAAAAAAGATACGTTTAAATTTATATAATGCAAATTCAGAAAAATTTAAAACTGGAAACTATATTTCAAGTTAATACCAATGAAAAAAATGATTTATTATTTATGACAAGAAAGAATCTAATTTATAGAAAATGAAAACATTTTTAAAAGATATGAAAAAAAAAAAAGAAATTTAAATTTGTATAATTTTTGATATTTTAAAAAAAGAAAATGTTTTTAAAAAGTTTCAAACTTTTTAAAATTTTCATTGTATCGATTCATATATATATATACACATGTGAAATCAAATATTCAGATAATGAAGAAATTTTTTTTCCTCGTGAATTATATCATGATGATGATTGTCATCTTTTAAAAGAATATTTCTAACTCAAGAATAGTGGAAAAGCCTGGAAGCAAAACATTTTTCAACGTAGCATGACTAAAGCTTTCTGCTGTTTATCGGTTTAGCCAATGGCGTTTTTCTTGTTGTGCAACTTCTCGATACAAATTTGCACATTTTTTATTATGTACTTTTTTCTTATATATTTCATTAACTTTTTTTTTAATTATATTTAGATTAAAATTAAAAAATTGTATTTTAAAATCAATTTATGCGATTACATAATTGTATTGCTTAATTTATTATTTAAACTCGATTTAGTCGTTTAGTTATTAAATGATTGAATAACAATAAATATTTCTTTTTGGTTATTATTATATATAAGATATTTATTAACGATAGGAAATCATCCATAAATAGATGTTGCAAAGTTGATGGATTTAATTTCTAAATGGAGTTAATAACAGTATTGAATTTTGAGTATTAAATTTCAATATTATTTTGACGTTTTATTGACATACTAATCTGTATTTTATAACCACTCACTTTGATATATTGATTTATTGAAATATTATTCGAATTATTATTGGATATATTTTCAATAATAATTTAAATTAACGAATTATAACAATTATTCGAAAATTATCGAATTACTTGATTAAATTCTGGATTAATGACAAAGTAGTAAATTGTGCAAATTCTAATTCTAATTACTTAAAGAATACGTGTAACAATGAAATGAATAATTTGAATTAATAATTGTTTATCACATTTATATATATGTATATATTATAATAATATTTCTTTAAAAAAATGGAATAAATGATTTTGAAAATTGTTATTAATAATAATTGGACATTTTGTATATATATATATATATATATATATAATATTTTAAAATATTTCTATGATATTTTAAAATATTAGAAACAACAAATACAATGATACAAGCTACAAAAGAAACGAATTTTTAATTTTTCAATCCTCGAAACTTCAGCTATTTTTAATTATATATAAACATTAAAAAATATTATTTGAGTAGTTTTTCCAATTTGGTATATAGCAGTTTGTACATATATTACACATATATCTTTATTACGACATTTATTCTTCAAATATGGGTCGAAAATTTTTTAAATAACAGCGTACATATTCGCTCTTAAAAACGAATCAAACAATGCACCTTCCGAAATTCGTATCTTTTAAGTTTAATTAAACCAATTTTATGCATAGAAAAATCTTCATATAAAACAGGACGTGTACTTTTTTTCCATTATTACAAGAGACCATTGTTTGCGGATGTACAAAGTGTTCCATGTGTTCTGTGGAGCGAAGTGGAAACGTGAAATCAGTGAAAAAAGTCTATATAAACGCGTACTGTTGTTGATATTGATTCTGCAAAAAAATATATACTGTTGATATTGATTCTGAAAAAAAATATGTGATATTTTTTTTTTTTTAAAAACAAAATGATAATTACGTCTTTCATTTCATTTAATTTAATCTTTTTTTGAAGATAAAATAATATCTAAAATTTTACGAAATAATAAAATTACAAAATATCGTATCTAAAATTTTACGAAATAATAAAATTACAAAATATCGTATGTTTGAAAAGAATCCATTACATTGCACGTATAGCAAATAATTCTTAAGTTTAAACTAGTGACTAATTTTATTAAAAGTAATAATTTAAAATTTAGAAAATTTTATTAAATACATTATATCTTTCATTATATCTTTTGAGAACAAAATAATCATTTAAATACTTTTAATTTCGCTAAATATATTACACATCATATAGTTGAAAAAAAAAAATTCATCATATTGCAATGATTTCTAAATTTAAACGCTCATTACAAGTTTTAAAAAAAATTGATTTACGATTATAAGCATGGAGCAATTATGATATTATTCGATTTAATTTGCATTCGATAAATAGTAAAAAGAAAAAAAAAAGAGAATGAGGAAATTATTCATATCATTACATTTTTTTTTAAAAATATAGTTGATTGTTGTTTTTATAATCTCTCTATTTTAAACTTCCTAAAGAATGTTTATATTCGTTTCGATTTTTCTTATCTATCACTTTTTTTTTAGTTTTTTTTTCCTGTTTGCTTACTGATCTCTTTTTTTTTTATTTTGTTTCATTTTCATTAAAAGCGCGATCAAATTTTTCTCACAAATGTAATATGTAAATTATATGTTAATTATATATATTAATATGTTAATAATTCTAAAGCGAAAAATTTGGGAAGTTTTATATAAAATTTAAGAATATTAATTTTAATAATGATTTCGATAATGATTTTTTGGATTTAAGTAATAAAAAATTTTTTAAAATGCGCGGATTTAATGTACACGATTTAAGTTTTTTACGTAGAATAAAATGTTAAAAAATATAAATGATACAAGTTGAAAGAGAAAAAAAAAAGGAATATAATCCGTGTTTTTTCTTTTATACATTTTTATTTTATTCTTTATAATAATATCATGAAACATTTTTACGCGCTACTTTCAGTAAAAATTTTTAAAACCTTTTAAAACATAACAACATCACGATCAATTTTATTCATCATCTTAAAGTTCACTTTCACTATTTTTTAATCAATTGAATCACGATTTTGCACGATGTAATAAAATTATCGAATGAATTTATAAAAAATAAATAGAATCTCTAGAAATTTTGACGAGCCGTTCCTTTTTTATTATAAATAAAACATTTATTTATTATCGAAATGGAATCTTTTATATGGTTTTATAAATTATAACTATATTATAATTTATTAAAAAAATTCTTTTAACTTTCTAAAAAAAAAAAAAGAATTCTTCATTTCACAATAATTCATTTTTTATCATTCAATATGCAAAATTGTGAGTATCATAAATTATGAAAATTATGAATATGAAAATATTTGTTTTTATGAATATTTAGTATCCAACCTTTCACACGATTTATCATTTTTGCTAAGAATGATGTCACGAACCATATTGACATCGAACTATCAGTCATTTTTATTAAAGATTATTAAATGTTATTGAATTTTTTAAAAAGTTTTCAATGGAATATAGTATATTTATTACGTATAGATACTATATCTTGCATTTTTTGTATGCATTTTTTTATTTTATCACTAGAATTATATAAGTTATTAAATTAATTATACGTACATAATTAAGATTAATACTGAAAAAAATAATTAAACATATATAAAATTTTTTTCTATTTCAATAAAAACATTTACAAATAAATACTTTTGCTAATTTTTCACGATAAATACGAAAAAATATGAAACTAACCTATTTGACTCGATTTAGTAATTTTTTAGTTACTTTTTTATCGGTGATAATTTATTGGACAGGATCCGTGAATTTTTTGAATTGGTCCAAAAATTTAAGAAATGAAAGAGAAAGAAGTGGGATGTAAAGAAATATCTTTAAAAAGTTTTCGTGAAGAATCGGTGATAGAAAGTTCTCGTCGGATAATTTATAATCGGTTTTTAGGAAGAAAGATAAAAAAATGAAAAATGTCGCGAAAAGGATCTTCGTAACGGGATGAATTTTCCAGTTGTATGATACTTGAAAATGTTTCTTTAAGTGCGGTAATTAGATAAAGACTTCAGTTACATCTTTCATAATCGTTTGGTAATCCTTTCGTGAATAGGTATTAAAGAAAGAAGTTGTTGACAAGTTTTGCGCGAAATGATATTATTACAATCATCGAGTTGATTATTTTTGTAAAAAGTATTATTTTTTTGATAATAAAACTCAGTATTTTACTATTTATAAATTAACACTATAAAATTATACTATAAAATATAATTTATGTATTTAAATAACATACACATTTAAATATGTGAAAATATAATAATATATAGCTAGTTTTAACATAAAGCTAATTTGTTTCCTGAATATTTCATTTATTAACTTCTAACGTATGTATAATTTTCATTAAAGATAAGTATTTTATTTTTTTTTCTTTTTCATTATAATAATTTTTTTTCATTATATTATTGTAGAATGAAATAATAAATATACATATATCAAAAGTTAACATGGATTTCCTTTTTTTTTATTGATATACTATTTTTGCTACTATACAATATGTATAATTTTTGTACATATTTAAGAAATAAGAGAGATGAAATTAAAAACTGCTAAACTTTTAAATATTCTACTTTCTTTTTTTTTATGCAACTAAACTTTTTATAATTATCGTAATCAAATTTTCCTCCGTTGAAATTAAATTTTTAATGCATGTTTGGGATTGGAATCTTAAACGAA